GTGTGTGTGTGTGTGTGTGTGTGTGTGTGTGTGTGTGTTTGTGTGTTCGGTGCGTGTGTGTTTGAGTGTGTGTGTGTGTTTTTTATATATATCCCCAAAAACGACCGCTATACCACTATTGCTATATTTACTACTACTACTGCTACTACCACTACTACTATAACTACTACTTCACTACTTCTACTACTATTACTATTTATTACATCTACTATCTATTACTACGTCTACTACACCTACTTCTATTATTACTACTACATCTACTACAGCTACTACTGGTACTACTACTGGTTCTACTTCTACTATTGCTACTACGATTGCTACGTCTACTACTACTGCTACTAGATCTACAACTTAAGCCTAAAGCTACAATAACTACTACCTCTACTACTACCACAACTGCTATTACTAACTCCTCTAGTATACCGTTATTGCCGGTACTACTACAAGTTTTGGAAACTACACGTTTTATTTCTGGACTTTTCAGAAAATAAGTGCAAATCAATTACTAAATCCAGAACTTTACTACTACTACTACTACTACTACTACTACAACTACTACTATCACTACTACTACTACTACAACTACTACTATCACTACTACTACTACTACCACTACTACTACTACTACTACTACTACTACTACTAGAACTATTACTACAACACTACCACTACTACTACTACTACTACTAATACTAATGGTACTAATACTAATAATACCACTACATATTTACCACTACTACCAGTAGTAGTACTACTACTTCAAATACTACATTTGCCACTAGAACTACTACTAATAATAAATCTACTACAACTTATACAACTACTGTATTCACTACAACTACTACTACGTCGACTACTTTGTTTACTATTACTACTACTGCTACTACTACTACTGCTACTACTATTATTATCACTACATCTACTACGACTACTACTACTACTACTACTGCTACTATTATTATTATTATTGTTCTTACTGCATCTACTACCACTTTTACAACGTCTACTACTCCCACTATTATTACTACTTCTACTACCACTTCTGCTGCTATTACTACAACAATTATTGCGTTTATCACTACTACTACTACTACTACAACTACCACTACGACAAAATACTACTAATCTACTACTACTGGGACTACCACATCTACTACTATTAATTCTACTGCTACCACTACTACTACTCCTCCTACTACTACTACTGGTACTCCTCCTACTACTACTACCACTTCTACCAGTACAACTTCTACTACGTCTACTACTCCTAATATATTCACTACTAAAACTAATACAACTATTACGACCACTACATTTATGGCTACTACTACTTATTCTACCACTACTGCTCCTACGATTACTGCTACTCCTACTAAATCTGCTGCTTTTACTATTACCATAACTTCTAACACTACTACCTAGACTATTACCACTGTATCTACTACTACCTAAGGCTGTTGTAATCATTAGTGTAGAGTATACACATTAGATCATTGTAAACAATAGTGCATTAGACCATTGTATCATTGCTATAGAGTATAAGACTGTTGCGCTCATTGTAGTAGTCTATATCTGGATGAAGGAGAGTCTGTACTTGACTCGTTGAAAAGAAGAGTCTGTACTTAGCTCATTGAAAAGGAGAGTCTGTACTCAACTTATTAAAAAAGAGAGTCTGTACTTAATTCAATGAGAAGGAGAGTCTGAAGGCGAGTCTGTACTTAACTCATTGAGAAGGAGAGTCTGAAGGAGAGTCTGTACTTAACTCATTGAGAAGGAGAGTCTGTGCTTACATCATTGAAATGACTCTTCTAGTTTATACTACAAATCAATGTAATCGTTGCTGTAGAAAATAAACGTTACAGTCTCTACCTAAGATCATATTAGGCATTGTTATAGTCTCTACCTAAGATCATATTAATCATTGTTGTAGAGTCTTTATGTAAGATAATTTCAATCATTGTTATAGTCTCTACCTAAGAATATATTAATCATTGTTGTAGAGTCCTTATGTATGATCATTTTAATCAATGTAATAGTCTCTACCTAGTATCATTTTAATCATTGTTATAGTCTCTACCTACGATCATATTAGGCATTGATATAGTCTCTACCTAAGATCCTATTAATCATTGTTATAGTCTCTACCTAAAATCATATTAATCAATGTTGTAGAGTATTTATATAAGATCATTTTAATCATTATTATAGTCTATACCTAAGATCATTTTAATCATTGTTATAGTCTCTACCTAAGATCATATTAATCATTGTTGTAGAGTCTTTAATTAAGATCATTTTAATCATTGTTATAGTCTCTACCTAAGATCATATTAATCATTGTTGTAGTCTTTATATAAGATCATATTAATCATTGTTGTAGAGTCTTTATGTAAGGCCAATTTAATCATTGCTATAGTCTCTACCTAAGATCATTTTAATCATTGTTATAGTCTCTACCTAAGATCATATTAAGCATCGATATAGTCTCTACCTAAGATCATATTAATCATTGTTATAGTCTCTACCTAAAATCATATTAATCATTGTTGTAGAGTCTTTATGTACGATCATTTTAATC